CAGATAGAGCTTATTATTATTATTATTATTATTATTATTATTATTATTATTATTATTAATTTAACGTTTAATTATTGTCATTATTATTGATTAATTATATAATAATAATAGTATATTATTTTGTGTAATTAGTCAAGAGAATATAATAATTAATATTATTATATAATTAAACATAAAATGATGATAATTAATATACTATTAATTATGATTATTATACTTTATGTTATTAATATTATATCATTTTTCCGTTCTAGTCTAAAATAATAAAATTGTACTACACCACGACATTACTTTTTTGTTTTTTCTTGTTTCAATTTTTGTATCCCATCCCAAATATCCTTCTCCAATTTCTGCCATCAAGGAGCCATCAGAAACGTTTTGGTAAGTCGCGATTGTTTCGAATTTTTATCATTCAACTAAATACGAAATCGAAATAAATGACACGATTATGAGTTTGACTCGCGCGCGAGATTTTGAGATAAATTTTTATCTTTACATCCCGTAAAAAATCCAGTAAAAAAATGATGTGCATGCCATAAGTAAAAGTGAAGTATATTCCTTGAAGACGCTCGGTGGAAACATTTCATCACAATCAGAATAAATTGTATCAATATATATGATATTAATATACACATAATTATTGTATATGTATTATAATACACAAATGCGATGCTACATTCACTTGGCGAATTAATGCACGATGTAATTTGTAATTTGTTACGATATTGGCTTTTAGGATTTCGATCTGATCGACATACATGGCATTTTAGTTACTAACCAAGTATATAACTTCGATCATATGACGAAATCATAAGTCAAAGTAGTTGCAAAATGGGAGACTAACTCGCATCCGCCTAGTAAATTAGAAGTGACAAGGAAACACACTGTGACGTGACATGTTCGCTTCAAACTCGTGCTCGTCACTTACCACGTTTCGATTGTTCCTCACAATTATAATTTTAATTTTTAATAAAAAATTTTTTTTATTATTTATGAGATATAATTAAATCTACTCTTCTTAATTTTCACAGGATTTTTTTATAAGTATAAAATGTTGTAAAAACGAATTTCAACATTTAGAGAGAATTATTAAAATTTTAGTTGTTTTCAGAACTTTTATGGATTTAGTTTAAAATATTTTGGTTTGTCTGTAGATGTGCGTTTGAATCCATACATTTATGATATGCATTATAAATATTGATCTCGACACGATTCTTTAATAATTTATTACTAAGCTACCAACATAAATTTCATTAAAATAATTCAGATATTTATAATTTCTCGAAATTTCTCGACACAAAAATTCACACAAAATATATTTCTAGAAATGCAAATTGAAGAATCATTAAATAATTTATAGAGATTTAATCTTACAATTAAAATAAAAGAGAATAAATCTTCTTCACATTACATAATTATATTAAAGAGTGAATATCGAAGAGATATTTCGAGATATATAAGAGATAAGGAGATTGTTAAAATGATCGGGGATAACATCGCGATTGGTCGCAAATTTGAAACGCGCGTCTGTGCTTCTTCGGCAAAAAGCTTGGGTATTAATTAGTTACGGTGCTTTTTCGAAGCATCTTAGGCGCAACAAAAGCGACGTAGATATATGCGACACCGAGCGAAGAGACGAAGCATCATATGAACCATTGTACCGCGTGGTCATGGTCGTTCATCGACAGTCCACCATCGGCGTCACTGCGACTGCTTCGATAAAATTTCCTAAACCATGCGTCGCTGTCTTGAATAGGACGAGACATGTGAAAAAAAAGAACAATAGACGACGATATTCGTTGAGAAAATTGATTTTCTGGTGATGGAGTGCTGTAACCATTGTACCGCGTGGTCATGGTCGTTCATCGACAGTCCACCATCGGCGTCACTGCGACTGCTTCGATAAAATTTCCTAAACCATGCGATCGCTGTCTTGAATAGGACGAGACATGTGAAAAAAAAAAGAACAATAGACGACGATATTC